CAGAGCCATGGCTCAGATGGGGGGCTGAGGGAGGGGGGGTGGCTCCTGCTGCTGTGCACACCCCAGGAGGGCACCAGAAGGGGTATACCCTGGATCTGGGCTGGGTGGGGCGGGCTGAAGCTGCGGGCTGTGGCACGGCTGCACCGAGCTCTTCCCAGCAGGAGGCTGGCCAGGCTGCGCTTGGGTAAGGCAGTAGCGGTGCTGGGAGTGGGGGGTTGGGGTGGCTACGGCAAATTTTGGGGTGGCTGCAGCCTTCTCCTTCCCCCGTAGCCTCCCTCCCAGTGCTGCTGCCACGCAAGCCAAGTTCAGTGTGGCCTAGCCCCCACCAGGAGCAGTTCGGTATAGACCCAGCCTGCAGTGACAGCTCACCCTCACCCCATGCAGATCTGGGGGCACCCCCCGCACCCTCTGGGGTTGCGCGCAGTGGCAGGAGCCACCTTCCTTCCCCTCCCTGTGCCCCCTGGACAAGCCGCAGCAACAGCCCATGCCCCAGCCCCACTCCCTCCCTCACCGCAGGGGCCTCAATTTACGCCCCCTCTCCCCCCCCTCCCTTTTTTCCACCACAACATACTTAGCTGAACACTGCTCTTCAAGCTGCCAGGCTGCATATTGGATCAGTATCAGAAGCTGATATGCCTCCTTAAAAATCGGCTATCAGTATCGGCCCCAAAAATCTCTGTAGGTGCACCCCTAGACTTAAGTACAGTTCAGTTCTTCAAACCCTCTCTATCATTGTTTTTTACCTGTTGCTGTCAGGTGGCTCAGCTTTTTCTGCAAAATCTGCTGGATTCTCCAAAGTCATAAGACCAGTAGTAAGTACAACAAAGCATGCCTGGTTGCACTCACATGTCTAATGGAAATTCAGCTTGGGAATGTGAAGGATTCCTGAGAGCTTTGTCCAAAACTCTGAGCTAAAGTATGTTGAACTTTGAATTTAGCTGCAATTGTTTAAAAATGGTATGATAAATTAAAGCATCTCTTCACAAAAAAGGATTTCATTATTGTATCGCATGCACACCTTACATGCTTACAGAGTCTCTTCTGACACTTCATATGTAGAATTGAAATTTACTTCTTTCAGCAGCCTGAAACCAAAGTAATAGTTGATCTATATGCTATTGGTCAGATTTGCCATATTTTTATGTTGTGTGAACTGGAAAAATGGAAGCCCTGTTCTTAACATGAGCTTGTTTTGAGATGTTCTCACAGAGAAGTTCCTTAAGTTTGCATCTAGGCTTCAGCAAGAGAAAAGCATATAGACAACCCCACAGAAAAAAAAGAAATAGGGGAAGTCTCTTCCTACGTGCTTCAAGTCAACACTTCAATTTCAAGTTAAAATAGGAATTTATGGCAATTGGTAAAAAGAAAAACCGGGATTCTTTTATACGTGTTTTTTTCTGAGACTGAAATATGGTGGCAAGTTAAACATCTTCAGCAAGTTTTGCTCATATTGGTATTGGAATTGCAATTATGAGTGTGTGTTGTTGAGAAGATATTTTATCTGCAGTTGCGCATACATGCTTTTACTGTGTACATTATAAATATAGCATTTGAGAGTAAGGCCTCTTCCTTTTGCTTTCCTTATTTTTAAAGCAGGGGTACCCGAGTTTTTTTCCTGGAGGGCACATCTCACTGGGACCCGCATAAAAGGAGTCTGCAAAGCAGTATTTTTTATGTTCGGTAGATGTGTTACACAGACTTATTATGTTACATCGGGGTCCCAGGGGTGGTTGACACACCCCCTGGTGGCTCCGCGACTATGCCTTGCACCACTCCGAAGGTGCTCTCCCCATCTCTCCTGTGTCTTGCTGGAAAATAAGTAGATAAAGAGAGGCTGCTACTGGACCTTGGTCTTAGGCTCACTGGTATTAGTCTCTGTAATCTCAGGCCCCAGACTGATCCTCTGTAGTCTATGGTGCCCGGCTGGGCACCCAAAGCTTTATGGGCTAATTGCATGGCTCCATAACATCCCCTTTACCATGCCTCGTGGGTGTTACCAGTATGATGTCCCTTTGTTGGGGCCTCAACTTCCTCGGCCTCTGCCCCATCACTCTTGCTAGGCCTACCAGCCTAGGCCCACTGAGTAGGACCTGGCTTTGAGGCACTAGCTTCTCTTGTCCACTCTCAAGTTATTGAGCCCCTGGCTTCTGTATATAGGGCCCCTAGCCCCTCTGTCTGCACCCCCTTGCTGGCGCTGGGCCCCTGGCCCCTGTGTGGCTCGCTTAGCGCTCCAGGCCTGAGCCTGCCCCTGGCAGGTCTCAAGGTGGTCAAGTGCCCCCCTGGATACTAGTGAGGTCTCCACCTCCCCTACAGCCTCTTCCACAAACCAAGGGTGAACATAACATAAATACAAGCCCCCAGGCTATAACTTAAATAATAACATGCAGCAGCCTTCTGTCCCTTTAAGCATATAAGCCTCTGCTTAGCACAGTGTCCTGGCTTCCCTGAGCAGGAGCTCCTCTTCTGGTGGAAGCCACGGAGAGACTGCCCGTGCTAGCCCCAGCCCTGGGCTTAAATGCTCCCCTGGTGCTACCTGCATCCGACCACCTGACCGGCTGCAGGTGCTGGCCAATTACCGCATTGGCCAGTTGCACTGGCAACCTGCAGCTGTGGCCCCCTGCTTGCCTGCAGAGCTCCCTTGCTAGGCTGCTTCCTCCTGCAAGTAACAGGTCCTGGGGCTGTCTGTTATGGTCTAACATATACACAGTTACAATGAGGAAAATCACTGGGCTGCTGCTAATGTTTGTCAAGTCAGTTACTGCTGAGCAGGCAGTGCCCAGCCTCACTGACCAACTGATTCCTCTGAAGGTAGGCACTATTAAAATGTCCTTTTGCAGGCTGGATACAGATGCTTTCGTGGGCAGCACTTTAGGAATCCTGTTTTCAGAGCATGGATGGCCAGCCCGTAGCCTGGGTGCCACAAGTGGCACAGGCAGACTGTGTGTGTAGCACATGGTAGACTGGGGATGGGACAGGCAGCACAGCAGCAAATAGTGCAGGGAGCAGAAAGCAGAGCATCAGATCAGGCAGGGAACAGCTCAGGAAGCAGTAAGCTGAGCAGCAGATTGCATATGGCAAAGGGATTGGAGTGGTACTTGGGGTATGGGCCTTATTTGTGGCACACCTGCCAAAAAGGCCCCCACTGTTTTAGAGAATGGTGGGAACCATACAGTGAAGGATCTGGAAGCCTTTGTTCCTTATTGTTTGCAGTCAATTTTGCTGCACAGAGAAGGCTGGTGACTGCACGTTTGTGACAGTTATGCACATTCTTATTGATATTTCCACCTTTGTTTCCTGGTTTCTTGAATGGAGGTAGATAGTCTTAGAGTTGTATCTGTATTTTGTTCTGTAATTTTATCCAGTCCTTTTCCACATATGTGAATCTGGTGGGAAGCTGTTTTTCCACTGTCTGCTTCATCCTCAAATATATACTGGAAGTACATGTCATGAAATTCACATAGGATTATTTCTCATGCGACTTGCTCATGTTACACAAAAAAAAATGGAGTTGAGAACTAGGACTTATGTGCACATACAAAAAAACATTGAGTGACTTCCTATAAAGGGGCCCAGGGCATATGCATGTACAAACTATTCTTCAAAATCTTTCCTTTGTTTTTTCCTGTGCTTCTAATTGGGCTGAAGCCAACATAGCTTACCCTTTGATATCAGTGACCAATGGAGAATTAAACAGTGAAGATATCCTTGGGAAAGTGGGTATGGAATTAACATTGCTTAGCAAATTGTTGCTGTCTAGTAGGGATGTGCAAAATGGGCCATATTCGATTCTGATTCAGATTCGGCCTGAATTGGGGACAGAGACTCGATTAGTTGTTTCAGATCACTGTCCCGATTCGATTCAGTCAAATCCGAATCTGAAGATTCAATGCTGATTCAGAGAATCAGTGATTCGGCCATAGACACAGCTTTAAATGTTTTTTTTACATACCTTGAAGTACCAACCGTGGCTCGTGAACGCTGCAGTGGTGGGGCAGATGGAGCATCCCACAGGAGCGCGGGGCGGTGCCCTGTGTGCTCAGCGGCGAACCCAGAATTGGACCAGAAGTACTTCCAGTCCACTTCTGGGTCCGCCTCCGAGCGTGCAGGGGGGGCCCCCCCATGCACCCCCGGCTTGGCGATCAGCCACGGGGGGGACCCCAGGTGCCCTCCCCAGACCCAGGAGGCACCAGTCGCCAAGCCGGCAGGGCGTAGGGGGTTCCCCCTGCGCACTCCCCAGTGGACCCGGAAGTGCTTCTGGTCTACTTCTGGGTCTAATGCCAAGTGCACTGGGGACCCCCTCGCACTCCTGTGGGATGTTCTGTCCACCCCAGCATCTCAGCATTCACGAGCCACCTGGTACCTTGAGGTACGTAGAAAAACATTTAAAGTGGTGTCTATGTTTGAATCATCGAATCTCTCCAAATCGATTCAGAGGCTTCCGATTTGGTTCAAAGAGATTAAAGGATCTCCTGATTCTGTTCGTTTTCAGATATTTGGCCATCAAATCAGGCCAAACCTCTACCGAATCAGATCGGCAACCATAGCTTCGCACAGCCCTGCTGTCTATTACCCCAAGAGACCTCTCTAGGTTTTGGGTGGGGAGAGATTCTGTTTCCCCACCAGTTCATATATTACTCTCTGGGAAGTAAAATGTTTATGTGCATGTATGTATATAAACACCTGCAACAGTTACAGTGGCTGCATCTACACGAGACACAGACTGCGCAGTCATTACTGCACAGCCATTTAGTACTTGTATAAATGAGTACTAAATGACTATGTAGTAACTGGAGTTACTGCGCAGTAGTGTCGCCAAACAGCTTTTTCATGATGCTGACTGCACAGTAGCTTGTTACTACTGTGCAGTAGCATTGTATCATGCTTTCTGCTATGTGACTCTACTGGACAGTAGTAATGGGCTATTGCACAGTCAGCATCTCATGTTGATACGGCCGGTATCACAGTACTGTACGTATTGTCATGGGACTTGTGGAGAAATTCTTGCTCCTGCACAAATCTTAGGGAAGCACAAATTCAGAGTTCATGAATATGTTTGTTGCTAGCTCTAAGTGAGAAGCTGACCTAAGTGCTGCAGCTCTGTTTTCAGAGTTGGATCTGACTGTGTGTGCTTGGAGTTCTTTGCTAGTAGCAGGCAGGGCTACTAGCAGAGATTTGCCATGAAAAATAGTTACTTCCCGTACATTTAAGAGTTTAAAGTTATTGAGGCAAAATAACAGATTTTGTCTTGCCTTTAATGTGAATTTGCAGCTCTGGTATTTTTCGTTAGTGCTTGCTTGAACTGTGAAGTAGTAGTATCCAGCTAAAGACCCACTGATGGCTCATACATCTCTGACTGCCCCCCCCTTCCCCCCCCCCTTTTTTTTGTCAAATTTTGTGTGGGGGGCACTGAGGGACCTGATGATAAATTTAGAGGAATTTTGCCTAGGAAAATAACAAACATTGGAAAAGGGATGCATATAGAAACATAATAGTCTGTTAGTTTCTGATGTTTTTGTAGTGCTCTGTCTTGCTCAGGATTTTTCTATCCATGTATGGTGTCCTATAAAAATTATGGGAGGGTCATTTCTACTGGAATAGGCGCATGCTTTTCTGACACCAAGAGCTACACTGAAAATGTGCTGAGGAAGAAAAATAATGTCTCCAATTCTAGAATCTGTCAAAATGAAGAAGAGAAAACTAGGCCAGCTCCCTTCGGATTAAAAAAAAAGTGTTTGTCAGTGTCCCGCCTTAGCAAGGTTTGAGAGAACTGAATAAAGGACCCTGCTCTAATAACTAGGGGCGCAGAGAATCCTTTTCATATTCAGTGACAGGACTATGTCGAGGTCTGTGTTTCTGAGGGAGATGTTTGGTGATTGTTAATCATCAATTATTTTTTCTTACCCAGGGTTAAACAACTTGAAATCATTTTGCTATTGGCTAAACTAATATTTTTTGGTTAATTTTGTTTTTAGAACCTTGTGTTCAGTAGCCACTGTAAAGCAGTTACTGGCTTTTCAGACCACGTAATACATCGAAGGAGATCAGCTACCTCATGTGTACGGTGCTGTCAGGTCACTGAGCTGCCGTCCTTTCTGTGCATGGCCAGTCCACGGGTAAGTCCTGCAAAAGATACTACTGCAATAATGGAATGTATTCTTTTGAGTAACTGCTTATGAAGCTGTTCACTTTTGTAAAGAATCCTGTCTTTGGACATAAAATTATTTTGTGTACTTAAAGTGCATTCTGAAGTCCTGTCCCCACAAAGTTACAATTTCATCTACTGTTGGACTAAATTCAGAAATACGTTGGTGTGTTTGACCTGGGGAAGTTATACAGCACTTGTTCGCAAACGGTTTTGTGTCTCATACCTGTCTCTAAGTTTTCTACATAGCTGTGCACCCCATAATGCCATGGCATAAAGAATGAACAAAGTAACAACTGTCACTGTAACTAGGCTGTAAGGTCTCCAGGAACTCTAGAAATATTCTGAAGTTGTTCATTGTTTCTTTTTCTTCCTTTTCCTCCATTTAGCTTCTTTCTATTCCTGTCTTTCACATACTTTTTAGAACAGTGATTCTTAATCAAGGTGCTGTAAAATACTTTAAAGCAGAGGTGGGCAAAATGCAGCCCATGGGCTATTCTGTCCAGCCTGCAGGACCCCTAAAAAATGTAGAAAATTAATATTTATCTGCCCTGGGCTGCCTGTCATGCGGCCCTTGATGGCTTGCCAAAACTCAGTAAGCAGCCCTCCACCCAAAATAATTGCCCACCCCTGCTTTAAAGGGTGCTATGAGGTGCTGTGCAAAAAAAAGGACAGAGCATTTACGAGATAATCCCAGAAATTTCAAATAAGAGTCCACAGTGTCAAAAATATGCCGAGTTCTTTGCAACTGAAAAATTGCTGTATACTTTTCCATAGTAAAAAACGAAGAGCTGGCATTTTCCTGAGGTGCCTTAAGTCTTATGGGATGGAGAACCACTACCCTAGAAATGTGCTATCTAGCCCTGTTTGAAAAATACTGTTATACAGAACTGATAAGATAGTAACTAATGCAGTTCTATGGAAACCACCCCAGCTATGTAGTTAAAGGAAATATTTCTTTCTGTTCTAGGGATAGAATTATCCATTAAATGGCTGGTTAAAAAATGTAGTAATGTTATACTTTGCTATTAAATTCTCAAATACTTTTTTAAAAAGGGAAGTGAGCATAGCATACATATTGAGGGGGAGGAAGGACAAAATTGTAGTAAGGCACAACCAACTGGAATTTGCAAAAGTAATGGTTGTTCCTTCTACCACTCCGTCCGCTATGAGCATTGAAAAACTATCTTTTTCTATTATAATGGTGTTTTTCTTTTGCTCCTTGGCATGTAACTTGCACCATGTATCACTTTTGATCTATAGTATTCTCTGCAGCTGTGATGTTTGTGTAATCCCTTACTTAAATTCAAATCAATTATAGCGGCAAAATGTCTGGCCAGTAGCATGCTGTTTTCTTGCAGCATGTTTTGCCTCTTCCAGTAAGATGTGTCTCTTTAAATTCTCTCCTAGTCTCCAACATTATAAAATACAGTGTAGTTGTACTTGGTCAAGCAGACTATAGGCAAACTTTTAGGCTCAAAGTACTGGGCTATTTGAAGAGGCTAGAGAGCTTTTTATCAACAGCAATCTTTAGTGAGGAGGAGTGTGAGATCTGTTTGATGGTTGAGGGCCTATATGATGGTTCTTATTAGTTTAGCTTGTACTTCAGCATCCCATTATTTAGAAATTTCTCTTTCTGGCATTTCCAAACACTTCTAAGGGTAAGTGGCACTGGCCAGACAGGTTTCCAATACCACTTGCCTTATTAAACAGCATTTTTAAATTATGTGCAACACTCCTTGTCTTATGAAACTCTTGTTCCTCATTGCTTTGTTTTCTGATGTTGTATTCTCTTAGTTTCTGCTGCTTTCCTTTTTATTCATACTTGTCCTCATCTTGCCTAACTGCAATAAACATGATGGGACTCTGGGGACCCCAGTGAGAAGCTGTTTCCTTTTGTCAGTTTGAAAACACATGGACACTTATCTTTATTCCCTATCCTCCTCTAACGTATACCTTTCTCTGTAATATATGCAGTATATTTCTCAATTAAAGTTATTTAGGAAGAATGGAAACTGCTCATCCAGAATGTTGTTACAGAGACTGAATTTAGCAAATATTCTTGTATTCATTGCATCCCATATGAATGTGTGGGTTTTCTTTAAATCAGAGACTTTGCCCCTCCCTATAATACTGTAGGAAACCCATTTTTACTAGACTTTAATTGCAGCACTCTAGGGATACAGTTGTCTTGCTTATGAATTCACAGTTCTGTAAATATAACTTTTTTTGTAATGGGAAGCTTCTGACGCACTGCTTTTTAATACAAGCTGAACCCTTGAGTCCTGGTTTTCCCAGGTGCTTGGATGACCTGCAATTTTTGTGAAAGTGAGAAAAGTGATGGTGTTTGTTTAACTGCATACATTATGCTAGGCCTCACAGCACAGTGATGGGCCACAGTATAAAGGTAATTGTGCTGCAGAAGTTTGATCTGAACATATTCTACACTGCCCTTAAAATCGATGGAAAGTGAGGGTGCTCCGCCCCAAGCACGCAGCTCACAGCCAAGGACCAAAATTGCTCCCGTAGGTTGTCATGTTTTCTGACTTGAGAACTTAACAATCACCACGACCGATAGAGACTTGGGGGTCTCAAATGACCACAAGATGAACATGTGCCACCAATGCAATGCCATAACCAGCAAAGCAAACCAAACTCTGGCCTGCATCCACCGATGCATCTCTAGCAAAACCAGTGATGTTATCCTCCCATTTTACATGGTCGTAATGAGGCCATAGCTGGATTATTGTGTCCAGTTTTGGGCCCCCCACTTCATGAGGGACGTGGATAAGCTGGAGAGAGTTCAAAGGAGAGCCACCCATATGATCAAAGGCCAAGAGAGCTAGCCTTATGAGGAGAGGCTGAGGGACATGGGACTCTTCAGCCTGGAGAAGAGAAGGCTCGGGGGGATTTGGTGGCACCCTATAAGTGTATAAGGGGTGTGCATCAGGATCTGGGAGAACAGTTGTTCACCAAGGCTCCCCAAGGGATAACAAGGTCTAATGGCCACAAACTTCTGAAAGGCCGATTTGGACTAGACGTAAGGAAAAACTTCTTTATAGTCCGAGTGTCCAGGATCTGGAACAGACTTCACCTAGAGGTGGTGCATTCACCTACTCTGGACTCATTCAAAAAGTGTTTGGATGTTTATCTTGCTGGGATCATTTGACCCCCCAGCAGATTTCCTGCCTTTGGCAGAGGGGCTGAACTTGATGATTTCGCAAGGTCCCTTCCAGCCCCTTATGTCTATGAAATCATCCTCTACTTCAGGGGTCATATCTGGACCAAAAAGCTCTAATCCAGCCCATATTTTACTAACAGCGGGCTGATCCCCTCCTGCTGTTCAGAGCGGTGCTCCCTTCTGTCCCCTCTGCACACTGCAGTATCTGCTTATCATCACTACTGAAATTTGCCCCTCTAAATTGTTGATCACTGTCCTTTTCGGTGGTGTGTTTTTTCAGCGGAGGCTGCAGTAAGAGGAAAAGAGCAGGGATGGCTGGG